TTTCCGCTCAGGGATCGCAGGTGAGGGGTGGCAATTTTAAACATGCCTTCTATACACGTGGCAGATTCGCTTCATAATACCTGACACAAGTTCCGTGTTTCTCGATTTCCCGTTACCCGCTCCGTGTTCCCTCTTTCCCGTGTAAAGTATCATTTCAACGTGAATTAAGTATTTAGCATGACACACGGTAATTTCACTTGGCATTCATGGTACGCATTTATGTTATTAGGTTTTGTGTTCCTTTGCCAGTTATTCCGCCAGTTTGTTATGATGTCGATCATTTGAAGTAACATGTCTGTATTACGAGCTCAGAGATGTCATGCTGGCAGTTATGAGCCTTCCATGCATCAGGGGGTACTACTGCTTCACCTTACATTCCTCAGAATCCCATGGTGCCACGTTCTAATTCAAAAATTTCGCAGAAAATTCCAGAAAAATACGCTGCAGAAACGCAGCCTGAGACGCAGCTCCCTTCTGCACCATTCTAGGAAGCGCTCGGGATGAATTCCGAAGCCAAAAAAATATCCAGCGAGGACCCAGAAAACCCATTGCCCTTAATCCGCGTCAACACGCCTTCCCTTTGTTACCTTGTACGCCTTGTTACGACGGCTTCAGCGCTTAAGCGTCGCGTTTCATAATCTGGGAAAGCGAAAGCGATGGGCAGTGCCAAGCGGCAGCTTGGCCTGTCACAGACCCCGTCACCTCAACTTGGCAACATATCCAGATTCGGCAGATTCTGATCTGAGTGTGCAAACGGTTGCTTTTTTGCATGCATGCTCACACTGCTTCGGCGCTCAAATGCGCGGCTGCCTATGTTACGATATTTAATAATCAGCTGTCAGCCGTAATGTCGCAAGGCGAAGGTACCCAAATTATTCACACCGGCACATGGGTTAGAAACTACCGGTTGGCTTTTGTTCTTCGTTCCTGTTCAATGGACATTGGTCGTAACGCAAGGTTGTCTTACATCAGCGCACACGTTGGAAGGATTTTGGCAGGCTTCCTAGAGACGTGATGCAGGGCGTCGCTTTGAGCAGGTCAGCGAAGACTCAAGTTAGTAAGCAAACGAGGTTGGTAGAAAAAAATGCATCCAAACGCCCAGCCGGAGCTCCGAGCGGTGACGGGAGTGGAACATCACATGGCGTATTTCATGGAAGACGACGCTGGCTTTTGTCTCAATCCGCGCCGAGGAGCCTTGAGTTAGCACCCAAACAGTAGCCTGCCGTCTGATTGGTGGATTAAGGACAGCGTCCCTGCCCCTTCCCCCCCCCCCCCCCCCCGTTTGATCCGCGAGGTATCTCGGCACGACCTTCACCGACTTAGGAATGAGAAGAATCGGACACAAGGGCAGCTGGATGAAGCCGCAGCTCGTGACCTTCTTTTTGGTTTTATATCCGTCAGGCTTTGCTCTGCAGTGACGGCATATGTCATATCATATTTACGTGACGTCATATTTGCTCTGCACCCTGTCTGTCCCGTCTTTTTTAAGGGGTTCTCCATTTCCGCGGCCATAGGATAGGAGGTTCATTAATAGATACAAAATAAATTAATGACTAGTAAAATAAAAAATATATTCAAAAATATATTTGCAATTTCAGTGACGCCAGGCGGTTTGTTACAACCTCATTTAAAAACATCCAAGCCATTCAGCATCCCGGTCATAGTTCCTCATTTCGGTATCTATGCGGTACATCACGGGTTTACAGCAGCCTGGGAACAGAACTGCCAATCCGGACCGGGCCGCAGACGTCGGGTTCGGGACTCGATCCCAGATCCAAACGCCGGGTTTGGGACTCGATCCCACATCCAGCTCACCTCGAATTCGGGAACTAACCTGGATTCCTGCTAAACAGGCAAAGATCAACACAAGTTTGGCTCATTGCCGGCTCGCTGATACAAGTGCTTAGTTTGGCATAAGTAGTACGTTGTATTACAAAATTGTATGGCAGGTAACGCGATCCAGCTTTGTCTTTTTTTCTACGAATACACAACCATCCCGGATCTGCGGCGAAAGATTGCTACGTCACAGCCTGTGCTACCTACCACACCAGCACGGGCCCACGCCAGCTGTCCCTTGTTAGCACGTATCCGTTCTGCTTACATTTGACTAATGTGAGCTCGAAAGTAAACACACGCCAAATACAAGGCCTTAAACGCGCTCGTTGGAAGAAAGGTAAAGCATTTGTTGAACGTGTTGCGGCCGTAGACGCTTGTTCAATCGAAGGCAGGTTGTGATGTACATAGGTGCGATCTCCCATTTGTAGCAACTTGGAATTTTTAGTGGCCTGCTTTACAGCACGAACAAATCTGGATTTCCTGGTAACAAATTTTGTGATGATGTTGCGACCGTAGAAGCTTGTCCAATCCGAGGCAGTTTGTGATATACCTAGGTGCAATCTCCCATTTGCAGCAGATCATAAGTTATAGTGGCCTGCTTTATAACACGAACCAGTCCGAAGATCCTGATAACACACAGTCCTATCCGTGTCTGCTTTGTCATCCCACGATATGTGCATCAGAGCACGGGCAAAATATGGGATGATAAGAAAGAACTCGATCACGAATAACTTTCAGTAGTATTATGTGCATTAATCAGTGGTCCTCTCCAAAGAAAAAGACGAGCGTGAGGCACGGGCAAAGATGCAACTATCGATCGTGAAATAACACACATATCGCATTTCTTCACATGTGAAATATATTTATAGTATGTTTATCGAAATAATATGCTGCCAATGTTATCATATCACACAGGTGATGTATATATATATATATATATATATATATATATATATCACTAATATACATATTATGTAAAATAAACTTGCGAGTTCCTCGCAACAGCCCTTGCAGCTGGTGCGACGCAGCAGTCCAATAATCCTTGCAAGAACCGGTTGGGCTGTGACCTGGATAGCGAGGACCCGGTGGCGAAAGGCTGGCAGACATCGATGCCGGTAGGCACCGATATTCGCGAGAGACGAAGCTGACAGACGCGCACACTGTCCACGCCGGCACTTACTGGTACTCGCAGGAGACAACGCTATAGTGGGGCACTCACGGTTGAGAAAGCTCTACACTGGTATTTCGGGGGAACAGTCACTTCGTGGGTACTTGCGGGGATAAACTTCGCCACAGCGCTCGCGCGAGAGATCCCACGCGAGCGCCACGAGCAAGCAGCGCTCCACACGGACTCTCTTGCGGTTGGACCCCTGACCAGACATTAGAGAGAGAGAAATCTACATATAGGCATTTGCGGAGAACACGCTTCAATTGGGGACTCCAGAATAATGACACCCCACACTGGGTCATGAATGTCACGGCTCAATAGCGACGGTAGTGAGTGCTCCACGTGAGCACTCACGGAAGACAATCCTCCACGCGGATGAGTCCCACCACGGACCCACGCAGTCGTGTGAAACTCCGCACAAAACAATCGAAAACGCACGTCGCCATCGAACGAGCCCCTCCTGAGTGCTGGCCCGTGACGCCTGTGCATTTGGCGCCGGCCGGCTGCTATTTGCCGCTCGGCCAAGGTGAGCCATTGTTCAAACGGTGCGCGGGGCGGCGGCCGCGCCATAACACACAGCTCGGCAGCCAGCGCCCTCCGGATGTCGCACAATGCCCCGGCTGCAACGGCGTCGCTGCCGAGCGGCGGTGCTAGCGGCCTGTGCGGAGATGACGTCTCCAAGGCTACGGTCGTGCGCGACTTCAGAGGCGAGATTGCACGGGTCCGGGGCATACTGATGTGTGCTGCGTCGATGTCTCGCATGGAGCTGCTCTGCACTCGAACTACTCATGTTTCGGAGATGGGAAATGGCGAGAGACGTGCATATGCATTATTTGCTATGAGTAGCATCGAAAAGTAGATATCTCTATGAGCATAAATGATTGGTGCTACCTAAGATTCAGCCATTTTGGCCAACGCCCCCACGCTACGCGTAGACTGCGCCGTCCTTGCGTCTTTGTATCTGCAATATGATTGCATATTGAAACCTGTCTGGCGTGTGTGGGATGATTTCACTCTGCCAACGACAAAACTTTGCATCATTTCCCGAACATTTACTTCGATAATATTCAATAAAGGTGCCAACCTTGCTACCAATCGATTTATATAATTGAGCTGTTGAAAACCAGGCTATCTCAGAAACATGTAATTGCACCTTGCTTTCCCTGACATCTCGCAAAATCCCTCCATCAGACAACAAGGCACAACCGCAGCAAGTTTCAAATACTTCTTAACATGATATAGACGGAGGAGGTAGATCGGCAATGGTATGTGTTAGCCAGCCGCGTTAGTAATCACCCTAATTATTCCCCTTGTGCATTGTCTAAACAATGCACGTTAGATCCGTTGGCATCAAAGGTTATCATAGTTACGAAACTTTGAGGTGACAATGTTTTGATGCCGACAGTATGCTTGTGCAATACACCTGTCCCTTGTGGTTCTTGCAACGCATTTGTTTATGGTGGCATGTCGTCTTAGTTACTACGCATGCAAATGGGAGGTATCAGTTTGAATTTTATAAGGGTATAGATCATTTGGTTATGAAATTTGTTAAGTCACCTTGGGGTTGTCGAGAGTCCTACCGACAGTGGAGTGGTTAAGCTGCGTGTCTGGGAACCCAGTGGTACAAAGTTCGATTTCGCTTTTGATTCCACCCTTCTACCAGGATGAGAGACAGTCGACGTCAACCGGCCTCAGCAGCTGAGTGCGTCGTAAAGCCCCAAACACATACAATTAAAGCAATATAGCAGTAAAAGAAGCTTCCATAAGACCGCACCTCAAAGATTATGATACGAACTCAGAACCGATACGAATACGTACATCCACTCACGCCAAGACCAATAGCAGCACCCGAGGAAAGCATTGTTATTGACGGTGTCCGGTTAACAATTACAGCAATGCCCATGGACTACAAGGCTTTCATCCTTGGCTGTCTCAACCTACACCCCACTCCCAGCGCCTCCAAATTCCGCTTTCATCACGGTAGATTGAGGCTCACCTTGGGATTATCCACACCCATAGCGCGTGTGGGCACTGACGGCCACAGCCACCCCTCAGATATCCTCGGCCGACTTCTGCCCCACAGATCCCGCACACGGCACTCCGCGGGTCCTCACGCTCGCCGTCCGCCACACACTCTGAGACTGCACCGGGCCGCACAGGCCGGCCGGCCGGCCGCCCGCCCTGAGGCCCTCCCCGGGGCAACAGTGACGTCACCTGGCCCATCACCGGCCTCGTGACGGCCGGCCGCGCCGAGGGCCGCCAATGGGATCCGACGGTGACTTTTGACGAAAGTGGGCCGCTGGGGGGAAGGCCCGAGCGTTACCCGCTTTGTCATCGGGTAAGTCCCTTTGTCCGACCTGAGGCGCGAGGCGGAAGATTGAAGCTCCTAGGGTTCAAGGTTCAAGGATCTAGCACCGGATGCAGCTGATGAGCGCCTTCGGTATCTAACCTCTTACATATTTTTAGTGATAGGGGTTGACGGTTTCGGTCCACTCACATTAAATTAAAAAGTTAACCACAGCAGAGCCCGCTCATATTCACGTCGAAAACGAAAGAGAACTGTAACAGTGATGTACACACCGCGTAACTCTGCGACCTAGCCTGAACAGAGCCTTAACTGGATGGGGTGTGACTCCGCAACAAGAGCCCCTCCCATTAGCCGTGCGCCAGCTGATTGAACAGGCTGATCTGGTTCAAGGACGCATCGACCCCTGGGGCAAGTAGGAGACTGGCGAGGGACCAGAGGTGACTTTCACTCAGGTCGGGCTGAAGGGGCTGACCGGAATGAAAATTGTTGAACTATGCCAACGAGTGGCTTTATTTGTCGCCTGATTTTGATGAAATTTTTCACAAACCACCCACCTACTGAACGTTTTCAATTTATTTAAATCGGGCGATGCTTCAACCATTATTCCCTTCTAACGGGAAAAAATGGCGGGGAGAGGAGTGGAGAGAGGTTTGGCACCGGCAGAATAAACTGATTGTGTAGAGTGTGGTGCGCTGATCAAGCATACGAATGCGTAGATGCGACTGTTTTAGCCAGATTCTTCAGTCTAAAACAAGGCCACGGAAATGAAAAGGCATGCAAAGCAACAGCTTTTATGAACTGTCTGGCGGCGGCCATAACCTGGTGAGCACTAAGAAGTGAGACCAGGTTGTGGAGGCCAGGTGAGACCTATCTGCGCATTGCTAAGGTGAACAAGTGCATGAAACGTCTAGTTTTGTATCAGTGAAAGCACCATAGAAAGCCGCACGCGCACGCATATCATGTACTATCTTTTTAGATATTCAATGCCATTCGATCGGAAACGGCTATGCCAAGAGCGTGTCAGGCAGAGTGGCATTGTGCATCGTATTAAACTAAACCCACATGTTTAAGCAGTCGGGGTACACCTACGGGGGTATATCTACGACGCAAGGAAATGACGCGTTGCTTTAGAGAACACGTGCGCTCATCAATAGAGAACCATAGGTTGTTCAGTGCATTAGCGAGGAACGTTATTCACATAAATAAGTCAGTAGCAACAAGCCTTATTCCTCGGAGAAAAAAGAAAGAAAATAGAGATATAGATGGTTTGATATTTCGGGAACGTGCGTTTATCGAAACAAGAGCAGAAGCACTTATGCTATTGTTCAGATAAGGCATGTTGCCGAAATATCAACTCATCTATATCTTCATTCCCCTGGTTTTCTCAGAGGAATAAGGCTGTTGCTACTGTCTTAAAAGAGAACGTTCACACAACAAAACGATTGATGTAACTGCACACATGATACGATTAGTGGGATCTAACAATGGAAAACAGTGTTGAAATGCTGACACTGAGTGTTCACAATTCATTTGACTATGCCTTGGTTTCCACTTGTGTAGCCGCTTGTTGATGCCATTTCGGTTGATGGTTCGGATTCGTTCCATACGCGCTTGTACTCGATTTGGCATTGCAAGATGATTTGACTGATTGCGTTTGTGAATGATTGTCCTGACTCAAAGATGTAAACAAGTTAGAAAAGTGACAACTTAGACCACAGTCAACTAAAGTTACGTGATGGGAGCTAGAATGACATTTTTCTGTTTTGGCAAAAAGAAAACCTCCTTAACGCACCTCAGCGCACATCGCACCCGGCCCATTGGAGACCTGAAGGGTATGCTTCAGGCAAAATGTTTACTGCGATAGGCTGGGAAACCAAGTCGGAGCGAATGCTGAAGCAATGCACCAAATGGACCGCACAAACAATGCCCGGTGAAATCAGAGAAATTGTACAAATTATGGTGCGCGAACTGCGCACGAAGGTGCGCCTTTCCAGCAAACATGACCTCTATGCAGCAATCCACTGATTTGGTCACAAAGTCCACTACGGCGGCCAGCAACCATGAGCATTTCATTGAGATGTCTCGAGAGGAACTGAAAATATACCCATTCAAAGTTTGTCTCATGTTTTAAGTACCCACCCGGTCGTGTTGGCTGTTCCGAGCACAGTGTAAAGTTTAAAATGAATGCGCTCAGTCCCGATTTAAGGCAGCGGCGTTGTCGAAAGTATTAGGTCGGACAGAGATGAAATGCATTGAATTGCATTGCATTGAATTAAGCATAAGGAGGCGTTGCGTTTTGCGTGCATCTATCTCAAATACAAAACGCAAATAACAGTATTTTTTCTAAAATGGCGACCAGCTGCAGAACGTGTAGAGGTTGAACACGGAACGTAGTCCAGTCCTCGGGGTGCAGGCTTCAATGTTGGTGATCTAAGCCATATATAGTTAGCCCAGAGCAGTGTTGTTCAAACCAACAGTCTGCTTGATGGGCACCGACATCTCTTAGCAGCAATGAGACCATAGATTTTTGCAGTGCAGTGGTCAAACTGCTCGTAGATGCCATGCTGGATGGCCCGCTGGGATGACTGGTGTGTTGCGTCATTTCACGCGGGCGCTTCAGATGCGGCCATCTTGCCGCGAACCACACTGGGAATGCACTACGTCACTTACTTTGGAAATCGTTCATATCAACATAAGCAACTCTTGCATGATGCAATATTTTAAGAGCCAGCCTCTGTTGGAAAGTTTTGTTAGAAACTACGCACGACTCATGACTCACGAATTTCATGACCTGGCATATGGGTGCAGAGAAGCACACTGAGCCGCTTCCAAATTCCGAGCGGTTCATATTAGTTTCATATGCTAAGTTCTGCCAGAAACTGTCACCTGAAACATGTCTCCTGGCTTTTCATCAATAGTCCGTCATTTGAGGTTTGGTGTCACGCCAGGCTCTCCCCTAAGGAATACTTAAAGTGAACGCAATACAAGCGTTGCAAGCCGCAACTTAGCTAAATGTTACAACAAAAAAAGCGTGTGACGTCAGCATTTTGGAATACAGGATAAGCCATTAACGCCCCCCCCCAAACGCAACTGGTATGATTGGTGGCAGTGTCCATGGAGATTTGTTATAACAATGCCTGTTACACCTCTGTGGAAGAGCAAGGAACAACTTAACATTTGCAAAAATCAAGAAACTGTCATATAATCACTTCCTTCACACTCGTCGTAACGTTGGGCAAGCAAATGCAAAAGAAACATATTCATCTGAGATGAATAACACTCTTGATTGCAGGATTGCTGTAGATTACAGGGTACTGCCCCGTCGCCACGCGAACACACGCTGCTGGTTTGTAAGTTCGTTTGCCAGTGCTGACCTGACAACTAAGAGGCATGAATACATTCTAAGGCCAGGTTACAATACAGATCCTGGATCTCACAGTCAAGCATGCAAGTATCCATTGTTATGGGCCAACGAATCTTACCACAACCTTCCCCGCTCGGGTACTGCCGACTCGGTTGTTGGCTAAAAATGGCCGAGCGTCGTGACTGACTATTGGCCACAGGGGACGAACTGAGCCCCCCCCCCCCCCCCCCCTCCTCCTCCGTCACCGCGGCCAAACCTGTGGTCACGTCGTCCCAAGAATGAAAGGATTAGTTCAGAGGCGAGGCAAATACCCATAGCGACTGCGCGAATGGGCGCAAGTGTCCTATGCCTGAAACTGCTTCTGTACAATCGTGTGGGAGAGGGGCCTGGACTCCAGCTGACTATATCTCTGCCTGGGTCCTCTGGACCTCACAAGTAGCCCATTAGTGCGAAGAAAGGGCAACATAACGATAGCAGAATATAGTGTGACAAGTGAGAACTCTTCTCTGATCAGGCAAATGTATGCATCCACAATTAATGTTCGTTGCTGAGAGTTGTTAATGCACTTATTTCTGACCAGGGTTCGTTGCTGTTTGAGAACGTATCGACAACAAGGCCATTGGTCTTTCTGACCGGAGTGGATTGTTAAATTCTAGATGTTGACTGCGACTGACGACTCAACCCCACGTAACAAGGACGTTACTGTTGTCCAGCGTTCTTAAGCACTGGACGTGATGGGGATGTTTGAGGGTTTTGGGAGCTCGTCGGCTTCTGAGACCATTCTGCGCTCGAATCCACCCGAGTGTTATCCTGGGTAGCACGTCGGCTACTAAGGCTGTTTCGCGCTCGAATTTACTACTTGCTGAGCGTTATGCTGCTAGAAGGATGAGTATATGACATGGAGACTTATAGTGCCCAGAAAGTGCGGCAATTGATGAGGCTCTATTTCATGATGTTTATTAGCGACGTCAGTGGCCAAGGACCATCGAGTAATTTTTGCCTCTCAGCAAAGAGCTATCAACAGTCGACCAAAGCATGGACCATAGTCGGCAATTGGCCGCATCTGCTGCAAGAAGAACTCTTTGAGCGTTGTTTAATCGAAATATATGCGTGCTGCACGTTTGGCTAATGTGCGCTTCTTTACGTGATTTTAGAAATGACGATGCTCAGGCGCCTAGGAATGGTTTGAAAGCTTTCAGCTTGTTTGAATGGTGCTCCTCGCTCCAGCTGGCTTGCTATTTGGCGAGCATATACTCATTCCCTATAAGCACATGCCATTTGAAGAAATTCACAGTGTACTGACAGATGTAAAACCTAGTTTAGGCGGGCGATTTTGGTGGTGCCGCGGCGGCCGCCGAAGCGCCGGCAGCCGCCGCGGTGTGCCGCTGTGATTGCTTACGTCACACGTTTGGCTGGCTACGTCACACCTTAGCCGCTGGCGGCCGGTTCCCGTACTGA